TTTGTCAGACACTTGTAAACACAAACAACTCTATTTATTTAAAGCCCAATGACCAACTTGTTTATTTAATCTCTCTGTTGACCAGATGAAATACCAAGATGAGCCAGGGCCGAAGAGGGGAATTAGCCAAGTTCCTTGCATCCTAGTTTGACATAAATTTAATTGGCAGTAAATGGTTGCATTAGTTGAAATGGTCTCAGCTACATTTCCTGCCCTTACACATTCTCTTGTGCAACAGGTGCGTGTGTCTTTGTGTTAGTCTTTTCAGTGAATCACATGGAGGAGCTCACGTGGAATGAGACAAATCTTTGCTTTTTCTTTGGTTATTTTTACACAGATCACACCTGTGTTAATACCACACAATCACTTTTGTACACTAGACAGAAAGGTAGCATGACCATTTTTCTGGCACAGTGCTGATGTATGTCAGTCTGCAGTGTTTTTTAACATAATAATTAGATGGCTAGCAAAATATATACTGTTAAAAGGTAATGCAAGCTGCCTGAGATATGTGCAAGAAGTAAAAATAATTTTCAAGCTGTGTTCGGAATACTGCATTGAAATGAGTGTTTGGTTTCAACCTTAGACGAAGAACTACTGTTAGTAGATGTCTTTGGCAGCAATATTTTTTCACTAGTATGAAAGAAACCATTAGCATAATTGTTGTGGATTACTTCTTTATTGATTGTTTTTCCGTTCAGGATTTTCACAGATAGTAAAAAGAATTCTGTTTTACAGGGAAGTCAAATAAACTGATCTCTTCATTTCTCACGACGAATCATTCATTTCTGTAGTAATGACTAGGTATTTTAAACATGGGTTAAAAGACAGAGTTAAAAAATACTAAAGAATATAAACAATATTTGTAAATTAATATTTATATACAAGACTAATCATCTGCTTTTAGATTAATTCTTTGCAGAACAAGGATGTCCTTCCTTTCTCCTTCCCATTCTTCACTTTCTGCCAACCTTCACTTCTGCAAAAGTGGTGAAGACGAGATTAAATTATAGATGTTTGCCTCATTTTAAGATCTTTTGCGTAGTTTGAAAGCTTAGATTATTTTTGATTAATAGACACATAATGCTGTTTACAGTGTAACTACATATATTTGTTACCAGCGGCTTTCAGACAAATAAGGCACAGAAAATAAATTTCGTAAGGTGAGAACAGAGACAAATAATATACTTTCCTAGTGCTTGCATCATCACCTGAAAGAATGATTAGTTTGCATTTACATTAGAGATTTCAAAGTGATCAAAGTAATAATTTACCAAATCTGCAGTATTAATTTATTGATCAGAAGAATTTATATTTTATGCATCAGATGTGCATTGTTAACTCTTGCTTGTAGTTAGTTTTATCTACAAAAATAAAACCCATTAATACTTGTTGTAGAAACATCTGTTACAAAGGGCTAGTTAATTGGTTAAAGGTTTGGGTTTTTTTGTTTTAACAGCTGTAGTTTGTAGCAAATGAGTGTATTTGCCATGCACTTTGTCTCTAAGCATTTGTTTGCTTTACCAGCTTTTTCTGAAGAACTGGCTTTTTTGAATAGTACTGCCAAACTTTTAAGTGTCCCATTGAGTTAAATGTACAAGTCTTTGTGTATAAATTTTTTTACAACTTATATTTGCAAATTTGTATGAATAAGTCGAAGCAAATTTGGGGTTATATGGTGCATTTGTTGCATCCCTTTAGCGTCTAGAGTACAAAACAAGCAACCGTGATCCAAAGATTTCTTCGTACAAGGGTATGTGTACTTCACTGGACTCCAATGTCACATGCAATTTCTGCCTTTCACTGTAAACAGAGGCTTATGTTCCCTAAGAAGCATAGCCGTAATGTCTATGGTTTCAGCATTTTCTTGGAAAAGTTGTGAAAAAAATAAGAACTGAGGAAACTTAGAGCCCAGAGTTCCTACTTTATTGTTTCTGCAGACAGGCAAAATTTTGACCCAGTAATCTATGTAACTCCCTCCATCCAAGCTTAGAAAGGGAATTGAACCATTTGTCTATGGCTAATGGGACAGCCAAGATGTTTCTGAGACCATCATCACCAAGAACCTGTGTCTGATATTACTGATGTGGCATTTCAGTTTCATATACAGTGAATATATATCTTAATGTATTAGATGGAACAATTTGAATCTCTTCACATACATCAGAGTCAAATTACCTTAACAGTCATAAAGCTAAAAATCATTAATGCTGTAAGGAATCTTGGGAAGTCTCTAGTCCAAGCCCTGCAGACAAAACAGGATCAATTATAGAAATGGCTCAGGACTGTAGATGGGTTTTTATATTATCTCCAAGGATAGAAATGTCTTGATATCTTACCCAATGAGGTGTTTACACAAATTGAGCATTCTCTTCTCTAGGCTGGACATTTCCAGCACTTTCAGCTTTTCCACATGTGTCAGATGCTCCAAACCTTTAATCACGTGTGTGGCCCTTTACTGGAGTCTCTCCAGTATATCTTTCTCATACTGAGAAGCCCAGAACTGGCCAAAGCACACCAGCTGTGGTCTCACTTGGGCAGAGAAGAGGGTAATGATAGAATATCCTGAGTTGGAAGGGATCCACAAGAGTCATCAAGTCCAAATTCTGTTCCTGCACAGGACACCCCAAGGATCACAGCATGAGCCTGTTGAACTCTGTCAGGCTTGGTGTTATGACTGCTGCTCTGGGGAGCCTCTTCCAGTACCCAGCCATCCTTTGGGTGAAAACCCCGTTCTAATATCCAACCTAAACCTCTCCTGACACAACTCCAGGCCATTCCCTTGGGTCCTGTCGCTGCTCACCACAGAGAAGAGATCAGTGTCTACCCCTCTTCTTCCCCTCTTGGGGATGTTTAAGACTGCAGTGAGGTCTCCCCTCAGTCTCCTCCAGGCTGAACAAGCCAAGTGACGTCACTTGCTCCTCATGTGGCTTCCCTGTAGACCCTTCCGTATCTTCATTGCTCTCCTTTGGATGCTGTTCCTCAACATGCTGGCAGTGCATCCTGAGGGTGCCATTGACCTTCTTTGCTGCAAGGACACAGTGATGGCTTGTGTTCAACTTGATGTCCACCAGGATCTTTTTCTGTGCAGCAGCTTTCCAACCACAGCAGTCCACAGCAGGTACTCGTGCTTGAGATTATTCCTCCCCAGCCCCTGGAGTTTGCATTTTCGGTTTTTTTGAACTTCATGGAATCTCTGTAAGCCCACTGTCTAGCCTATCATTGTCTCTCTCCATGGTGACAGAGCCACCTGACATATTGTTAACCTCTCATCCAAGTTCTTTGTAGTGTGCAAACTTGCTGAGAATGTACTTTGTCCCATCATTCAGGTCATTAATGAAGTCGTTAAACAATATCGGCCCCTTCAAAGACTGTCGTCCAGCTGGAATTAATGCTGCTGTTTATAACACTTTGGGCCCAGTAGTCAAGTCACTTTTCATTGCATCTCACAGTCTACTTACCTTGTCCTTATTCCAGCAGTTTGCCTCTACGTATTTTATGTGGGAAGGTGTTGAAAGTTTTGCTAAAATCAAGATAGACATTAGGTGCTCTTCTTTCATTCACTGAGCCATCTCATCATAGAAGGCTGTGAGGTCAGTCAAGCATGATTTCCCTCCATATATCCATGCTGATTTCACCTTCTTGTCCTTGAGGGTTTGATCCATTACCTGCTCAGGAACTGAGCTAAGGACTGTACTGTAGTTCCCTGGATGATCCTTCTTGAAGAAAGGAGCGACATTTACTTCCAGTCCTCAGAAACCTCTGCCTGATGCCATGACCTCTCAAAGATAACATACCCTTAATAAACTTGAAAAATAGCGGTGGTACCACTTAAAATTATATATCCTCACCCTTTTAAAGGTGAATTTAGGTTGCTGTTTTACAGCTGTGAATTGCTACTTTTCAGATGCTGTCAACAATGATAAAATGGTTATCAGTGTTAAAATAGCAATTTTGCTCTGCTTTGTGGGTTTCTTTAAATAGTTCCCCTGACTTCACTTTGTTGAATTTTGTTCTTCTGTTTATATTAAGGAATATGTAGCACATATGGCAGAAGTTGAAAATGCTATATAAAATAAAATGCACCTTCAGGTCAAGTTTTTTTTCTGTAATACAAATATTTTTGTCGATTTCATTTTCTGTGGTAAAATAATAAACATTCTTTGTATCCTAATTTTTAGCTTGTTTATTTACCTACAGATTCTCACTGATGTGCTGATCAGTGAAGGCAGTGTAATGTCTTCCAGAATTTTCAGAATGGATGGAATTTCTCTTGCATCTTGTTTTGAGAACTCATTTCTTTGCCTGCAGTTAGTATCCTAGATAGACAGAATTTCATACTTTGCCTTTATTTTTTTTCTGGTAAAGGCAGTTGTTCAGTTCATTAACTCCTTAAATATTCTTTCCAGACTTCTTATGTATTATTTGCTGGAGGGCGTTTGGTTTATGAGTAATAAAATAATTAGTTCCTCTTCTTCTTACAGCATCCTAAAATATATTTGTGGACTCGACTCTGTCAAATCTGAGCAGTTGAAACATGTTTAAATTTTTCTACTTGCCAGCTTCAGTTTTTGTTCCCATCCAGAAAGACAGCAGTGGTGCTGAGAAATTGGAACATTTTTGCTCTGTTAGACACGTAGATGAAGAGCTATCAAAGTGCACAAGTGTTTCCATACTAGTTAGTGGTAGTGAAAGCATGCTGGTGGCAGGTTGTGTGCTGTTGTGCATGCTGGGGGATGGAGTAAGTGTATCCAGTTTTCAGGTGTAACTAACCAGAGGCAGACATTTAAGGCTTCTGAGGTGGTGTTCAGAAGCAGTAACATGGTGACAATAATCCTGGTATTGTCTACGCTTGACAGCAAAATAGTGCAAAACTGAGTTGTACAGCAGCATGGGACTGCTCTTAACTGTAGACTTAGTTTTCTACAGAGTGGTAAAGTATTTTGGCAGTATAAATATAAGAAAAATATTAATTAGTTTTTCCTTTTTGTTTCTTTTAGGACTCCTCCAGGATGGTTTCAAGCAGGTATAAAAGGTATGAGATCGTTGTACACAGCAAATTTCTTTACATGTATAGTTCTACCAGAAATAAAGCTGATTAAATGAATGTTTGTAGTAGAGATCATCGTACTGCTACTGTAGATACATAGCTTGATTTTGGGGTAAGGACCGGAAAGGTGCAGCAAACTTAGCCAAACCCCTCTGTAATGTTACTATTTTCAAATAAATTCAGCTAGTATTCTGCTGGGACCTACTAGTGCAGAATACTTTCCCAAGCAAATGTCTAACTTGGCACATTGCCTAGGGGCCAGTATTTTCACAGTTAGTTCACAAACCTCTCTATTCTGAAGTTTAATAAAAGAAAATAATGCTGTTGTTCTCCACAGTTATACTGAAAGAAATTTCTATGGTTTTGTCATACTACTGTCCATACAGCTGTCTCAGTTGTAGCGGATGCTGCCCACATGTAGCATTTCCTGTTTGTTATTTGTTTGTCTTTGAGTCAAGAAAGTAATGACTCTGGTCATTACTCCAGTTCTTTAGTCAGAAAAATATTTCAGAAGCCTTTGATGCACCTGACCAGTGTGTGAAATATTTGCCCATGTGGAATTAATACCAACACAACTATTAGGATAATGTTATGGTAACATGGGGTCTAAAACACGTCAGCTGAAGCAAGACATTTTTGTAAACATATTTTTATTTGATACATGGATGCATTCTCTTTTAGAGATATATATATATATCTTTTAGATGTGTATATATATATATCTATATCTATCTATCTCATGGCTGTAGAAGAAAGTGCAAAGAACACCTACAATTATCTAGTTGTCACTGGTGTATTTTCCACCCTCAAACTTGTTCACCTATAGAATCGTAGAATGGGTTGGGTTGGAATGGACCTTGAAGAACTTCTAGTCCAGCCTCCCTGCCATGGGCAGGGACGCTTTCCACTAAATTAGATTGCTCACAGCCCCATCCAACATGGCCTTGAACAATTAGAGGGAGGGAGCATCCACAGGTTCTCTGGGTAACCTGTTCTCTAGTCTCACCTCCCTCATTGTAAAAAGTAATAACCGATCCTGTTATACTTTAGCTTTCCTAGCATGGTGCTGCTGTTTTTTATATTTATATTACTGGGTTCTTGTAAACTTAGTTGAGTGATGCTTTTTATTGTTATAGGGTTTTTTTTTAAAATCACTTTGTCACTGCAGAATGGGTGGACTTATTGTCACAACCTTAATAATTTCATGATTCATTTCTTATTAATCAAGCACATTTTAGTTCAGTCTTCACTTCCTTTTTGATTCCCATGCAGACTTTTATTGCTTTTTGTATCTGCTGAATACTTAGTGGTGTGTGTCATACTTTTGTGGCTTATTATAAACCTTATCTCTGTTCACATGCTCTCTATACTCACTCACTTGCAAAAACTTGATTGTACGTGGGGGAGTAATAAATAGAAGTTTGCACAACCACATTCATAGCTTATTTGAAAATAAGCGAATTCATCTGATTGGCATTGCAAAAATAGGAAGCACCAATGCTAGAAAATGCTAAATAAGACTTTAGTTATGTGTGAGATGTAAGGTCATTGTCAACTTTCCCCATCAGGACTGGCATCACATTCAGGAGGAATCTGACTTGCTGCAAGCTGCTGTTCAATATTTTATGTATGTTACCATCTATCTTACTCGTTGCACAGTCTTGAAACTTCATGTTGAAAGCAAAGGATTATTTTCTACTGTCAGCACAGTGCCTAGTGCTCACAAATACTCAGTGGGTTTTATTCTAATTGTACTTCTTGAGGCATACAATGCCCACTGTGATTAGAGTCAATAGTATCTATTTAATTTTCCTCTATATTTGAAAATTTTTACCTCCCCTGAAGTAATTTTTCACTTAAGGGTACTTAAAGTGTGTCTCCCAGTGGCTTCACTTTCTGGTGTGAATGCTAAAGGAGTCAGGACCAGAGTTGTTCTGGGCTTGTTTGCCACTTCCAACATCTGCAGTAAGTGAAGGTCTTACAGAAAGCAGCATTCTCTACAGTAATTCTTATCCACATCACTCAGAGCCCACTGAAGTCCCAAATACAGTTAGAAGTCCTTTGGAAACAGAAAATGCCATTCTGTGATTACACCTAGAACTGGACTATTGGTGCGTGAAGGCTGAATGGAGATCAGAAGCTTCTTCAAGGCTCAAATGAACTTAATGTGCTTTTAACAGTTTTGGGTGTACTTCCTTAGGTTTTCAAAGCAAACTGTGAGAGCAAAGCACGTTCTCACATAGGGACAACCCTTTCAGATCCCATTTGAAACTGTTACTTGCATTACTCTGACAGCAGGTGGTCAGTACTTTGTGGGAGAGAGTTTGTTGGTAGACTTTATAGACATTTGATAGCAAGAATAGAAATATGTTTTCCTAAAATTTTGTGTTCTGTTGTAGACTCTCTTTCCCATTGAAAGAATGAATTATTTGTCAGAAATTTTCAGGTTGTTTTTTTCCATCTTTACTACTCCTGCTTCTTCATTTTTTGCCTTCTCCCTCTTCCCCTATTGTTCCTCATCAAACATGACATTTCTTCATCTCAACATTTTTCCTCACTTTGCTGGTTTCTATCTTCTAGGCTAGTTACATACCCTTTCCCTTCTCTCCCCCTTTCTCTTACATCCTTATATTTAATCACTGAGGTCCTAGTCTTCTGTTTGTTATTTTTCTGATTACTTGGTGTTTTTTTTTTTTCCTGTTTTGTCTCTGTCCTGTTCTGTCCTGGGTTACTGACACCATTCCTGGCTTCCAGTACCTTTCTTTTGCCTTTCCAGTACCTTTCTTTTGCCTTTCCAGTACCTTTCTTTTGCCTTTCCATATAGCTGTTCTCATTTTTCACAGTTGGGCTTGATGATCCTAGAGGGTTTTTTTCAATCTCAGCAGTTCTATGATTGTGTCTACATTGAGATACCCAGCCTCCTGTACCTAACAACAGAAGAGAGACTTAAGAGCAGAGAAGTTTCTGTGATGTGTGTTCTCATAGAATCATTGTTTTCTCAATATGTTGTAGGACTCAAGGAATTGCACAGATTTTACGCTACCTATTTGATCAGACACACTGGCTACTTTGCCTTATATGGATGCAGCAATCCATGGTTGAACATTTATATACATTACTGGGAAACCCTTTTCACTGAGTGTCCATTGACTGGAAGATGTGTTTACATACGAACTCTGCTGGCTGCTGTGTGTTATTCTTCTGTTCTGGCTGACATGGACAAACTGAACTTGTCTCCTCATGCACTTAAATAAAAGTTTGTGATGAGGATCTTAGTCTATAATTGTAGTCTGTCTTTTGAATTTACTTCAGAAATTTTCACACACCCTAAAAGTTTGTGGAGGGGTTCCTTTGTAGTTGCATGATTAACCATGTAAAATATTTTCAAAAGAAAGTGATGGTTTTGTTGTGATCTGGAGTGATACTGTGAGATCTGTTAAAAGGATGACCAGAATCTGCAAGGTCATGCTGACATGAAGGCCACAGGATGTGCATGAGAGTATTTGGGAGCTGTGATGAGCTGTGTGTCCTAACTGTGAGCTTCATGTATTAAAATGTATAGTTACTTCAGTAACTATACATTACTTCAGTTGTAATGGCCCACATCAACTTCCTTTTCTTTAATTTTTCTCTAAGCTTTTCTTAGTGAGATATGCCTCATTTTGGCCATTCCAAACTACTGTTCCTGAAACTGGTCTACCAGTTTTTGCCCTGCTTTGTGGGCTATTTTAAAGCACCAAGCACACTGGCATTAGTAAGAATAGTTTTCTGATTTAGGTCTGATGCTGTCAGTATAGTTGGTGTTATCACTGATTTCTCAAACAGGAGAATGACAAAGTGTGTTCTGTTTATTGGAATATTTGAGTGTAGTCTACATGTAAACATGAATTGTGTTTCTGTTGCATTCTGTGAACCTTAAAAAGCTTGTTTGCAAGCAGCAGTAAATCAAGATATGTATGTGGACAGAGGAATATTTTTATAAGCACAGAGAATTTGTTTTAACAGCTTACTTTTAAGATTGTCTACTAACTTTTGAACCAGTTTAGTTTCTTTTTAAAAAATTGTAAAAAAACCCTTGCAGATCAGGATTTAAAATAACTCAGAAGATTTTTGCATGGTTCATGGATCAGACAGATCAGCTGGATCAGTTTGCAGAAAGAGATTAAAATCTCTTAGTGGTTGAGGGATGTATTCCCTCTATAAGTTGTTTATTAGTGGAAATGAATACAATATAGTATGCTGTTATGGCTTCCAGTCAAAATGTCAGAGAGGATTTTTTCCCCCCTCTTCTGGGATAGTACAGCATGTTAACCTGGATCCCTAGAGCTAGAACCATTTAGCACTAATTTCAGAAGACTACATTGTATTCAAGTTTAGCATTCATGCAAGAGTTGAAAAATAAATGGAGAAGTAGAGACCATAAGAAGAGAAGAACCCAGTGCTTCAGAGCATTAATCGAAGGGGCTCTGAAGGAAATTTTTGAGCACTGCTGAAATTATCTCGCTCAGTGTTTTTTAGGTAACTATAAGACTTAAACTATAACAATTTACATTCCATCTTACTAACCTTGGTCTCGCTAATTCAAAAAAACCACAGCTGCAAAATACTGTTTCATAAAGCTATGCCCAGACTTGCCTGCTTCCTGTGTTTGGGAATTTTGCTGTGGAAGCATTGTCTCATCTAACTTGTTACATTAGAATCACTACTGTGCAGATATGAACAGTGTATTTTAGACAGGGGTCACTCAAGATGCTTTTCTTGACTTTTCTAGCCCCTCTTGAATCAATGCTAAAGATTTAGGTTTTATTTCTGCAGAAGATTTTCATGGTCTAAGTTGTACTAGCTGAACTTCTCACTGCCTGTTGTGCCAGTGCTCATGCAGCTGGACAAGGTACCACTTCAAGAAGCCAATGTGGCTGAAAGCTGATGGCTTCCTTTTACTTGTCTGCTGGATTGCTGCATCAGTTCCTTGAGTGGTTTCACACTCACCTGAAGGCCAGAGTAAGGGAAAAATGGAGCAGACTAGGAACATGCAGCTTTAGAGAAGACAAGACTTCTTTTCCTTAGCTCAACTCTGAAAGCCACAAATTTGGCTTAAACAGTAACAAAAGTCCAAGATGACCTATTTAGAAAAAATTGTCCTTTGCTGCTTTTTCCAAAGAGTCTGTTAACATCTGACTCGATTGCAGAGACATAAGTAATTAGGCGTTTTCAAATCAAGTATAGTTACAAGATTCTGGCAATAAAAATAAACCTGTAGTAATTGAACATGTTGTAGTTGAAATACAGTTTTGACAGGGTGATTTTAATTGCATGAAATGGCAAATTGGACAGTGCTTCAGGAACACATTGAGAGAATCAAAGAGGCATTGGAAGGAGCAAGATTTATTTCACCTTTCTGTAATAATGCTTTAAAACCTGCCTCTGTGAATAACTGATTTTACTGTAAAGGAAATAACTAGAAACATTTTTCCAAAACAGAATTTCTGTTTCCCTGTAAGAGTAGTCAAACTGCAATGAGAGTTGATTTTGCTATATGGTTTTTATTTAAGTACAGCCAGAAGAAACCCCTTAGAAATATATTTATATATCTGTATCTAATCTACAGGTATAATTCCATAGACTCATCTTTGATGGTGGTGGTTAATAGGTATTTTCTCTTAGTAGAGAGACACCAAGTTCAGTGATGCTGTTATTCTAGTCAGCAGTGCCCTGGCAGCCAAGAGGGCCAACCGTGTCCTGGGGGGCATCAGGCAAAGCATCACCAACCAGTCAAGGAGGGGGATTGTCCCACTCTGCTCGGTCCTAGTGTGGCCTCACCTTAGAATATTGTGGCAGTTTGGGGTGCCAGAATATAAAACAGACATTAAGCTATTGGAGAGTGTCCAAAGGAGGGCCATGAAGACGGTGAAGGGCCTTGAGAGGAAACCTGTGAGGAGTGGCTGAGGTCACTTGGTCCATTCAGCCTGGAGGAGACTGAGGGGAAACCCCGTTGCGGTCTTCAACATCCCAACGAACAGGGGCAGGCACTGATCTCTTCTCTGTGGTCACCAGTGACAGGACCCAAGGGAATGGCCTGAAGTTGAGTCGGGGAGGTTTAGATTGGATATTAGAAAGAGGTTTTTCACCCCAAGGGTGTTTGGGCACTGGAACAGGTTCCCCAGGGCAGTGGTCACAGCACCAAGCCTGACAGAGTTCAAGAAGCATTTTGACAACACTCCAAGGCATATGGTGGGATCCTTGGGGTGTCCTATCCAGGGCCAGGAGTTGGAGTCAGCGGTCCTGATGGGTCTCTTCCAACGCAGCATATTCTATGATTTTATGACTGTTTCACATTTAATGCTCATAAAGTGACATATCTGAAGACTAAAATTCCATTCTTTGTGAAAGATACGCCTGTTGTGTCCTGGATGGTACATTTTTTCCATTGCTGTGTACTAGACATTGGTTATAACAGCACAAATAATGAACTTTTTATCTGTCACATTCCATATACTAGATTATGGGCTGATGCCTCCTTAATGTTTTTTTAAATCCCATTTCCTAGAATTCTTCCTGATATGTCATTTGTACATGCTAACAGTGAAAAAGAATGCATTCAGTAGGGTCTACTGCCCAGTGGAATAGATGAGGAAATTTCTGGGTGTGAATTTCAGGGAAAATACTGAAAAATTAAGTCATTTTCTGTGTTAATGAAACCCTTCCTGTCTAGGTATTCTTTCTTCTCATATTCATGTAGGAGCTTCTGCCAATATCACTTGCTAGAGCTGAGGTACTCCAATATGTTGACAATAGGGTCAATTTTTGAGTGATGAAAAATTGAGCCTTTTTTTTGTGTGGTCTATCCTTTAGACATTAGCAGAATACAACTACACATCTTTTAGAAAGCTAAATAATCTAGAATTTATAGAGTTAAGCTAAAATATTTCTCTTATGTTGTGTTGTAACATGCATATCCGGTCCTAGAAATGTTTTTTGAAAAATCTCCTGAATGAAGAATAAACAGTGCTAAATATGGTAATAACATTAAGCTACAAAATTCCTTACAATTGTGTCAGTGTGCCTTGGAAACTTCACACGTACTAGAGCAAAAGAATATTTATATCCATGAAAAGACATGCCTTTGCCAGATACTCCTGTTTTTGATTTGCACTATATCCATCTAAATCTGCACGTGGTCAGCAGGGGTTTTCTAAAGTTATGAAATGCAAAACTGTTAAATGAACTCATTAATCATATACTCTTCTCTGTTTTAAAGGAAATGTTATAGGGATGCTTGTAGTTCTTTTCATTCTTTTCCTAAGTACTCTAGAAAACCATTGTATACATACTTCAGCTGTGTGATTTTGCAGAATCACAGGCTGAGTGAAGTTGGAAGGGACCTCTGAGGGGAATCTTGTCCATGTCCAGTCCTCTGCTCAAGCAGGGACACCTAGAGCTGGTTTTTGAGGACAATCTCCATGTGGCTTTTGAGTTCCTTGGTGAAGATAGAAGAGGGGATTTTTTGGTTTTGGTTGGTTTTTTTGTTGGGTTTTTTGGGGTTTTTTTTGGGTTTTTTTTTTTGGTCTTCGGCAGTTTGGCTGTTTATTTTCAAAGTCTAAGAAGTATAGTTTTAGTGAATTGGAGAGGGAAAGATCAGTATCTCTACTTGTTCCTGGGGCACTCTGTTCTGTTGTTCTTCATTTTTCATTAGGTTCTGTGTTGAAGGTAAGTAATATTACTGTTAGGAAGAAAATAGCTATGGGAAGAGCACTGTTAGTTTTGCGAGTGAAAATGTTTGACTTCTTATACATATTTTTAAATTAGCACTCGTTTTGTATATAGCAACCATAGTGGAGTACAGGCCAAATCCATAATTCCAGAAAAGTCAGTTGATATTCTTCTTATGTTTTGGACATGCACTTGTTTTTCATCCTTTATGGATGCTTGGTTTAAAACTTTACTCTTTGAAATAAAATTACTTAGCTTGGTTTTTAATGTGCACAGTTCATGAAATTTTAAAAGTAAGATAGGATAAGTATAAGTATGTGTTTTAAGTCGATTACCCATGTGAATGAGAGCTGCATTATCCAAGTATTTGAATCTCTGAGGCAGCGAATTTAGTGAGTTCTCAACCACACGTTTTCTGCAGTTTGACTGACCTGTTGAGTGCTTTGGAAAGCAGTTTTGTTACTGCTATCATTTCCATTTTGTTAAATGTATAAATAGGTGTCTGCTCTTTGACTTTTGTAGCACAGCTAATGCACCAGAAGATGACGCTCCAAACAGATATTCCCGAACAGAGAGGACAACTTACAGCAGATACAGCAGGGATGCAAATTCTTCTGGCAGTTCTCTACCAAGTAACACTTTGGAAAAGAGGATTGAGGAACTTGAAAGGGTAAGTGCCAACTAACGTCTCCATGGCATACATCTGAAATAAAGTACTTTCTGAAGTCTGTGGGGAAATTTACAAGTAAAATACATAGATAAATGCTATGAATGCTTGAAGTAGCATTGAAAAATGCTAAATACTTGAAGTACAGATAGTTATGTCTATAAAAATGTATAAAGAGTCAGACTGACTGAGAAGAATGTGAACTTTCAAATCATGGATGTTTAGTTTTCATTTGGTATGTAAGTGAGAAATAGTTGAGGTAAAGACAACAGAGCCAGCAGTGCTCTGTGTATTTCTCTTTCGTACCTCATGACACACCAACAAAGAACAAATATCTTGGGGGAGGGAAAAAGGGGCTCACTGGCTGTTCATAAAATTAGCAAACCTGTTTCTGATCTACTTATGGTTTTGGATATTTTTAATGTATCAAAATATTATAAAATTTATTGCTATCCAGTTGTTAAAGTTTTAAACATTTAAAATACATATTTAAAACAGTTTTCATAATTTCAGATTAACTTCATACAAACAGTTTTGGGAAAATGTAATAATGTTAAAGCTGAGTTTTTCATGTAAGCCAGTATTTTGCTAAATAATGTCATCTGTGTAATTTATTACTAGCTTTTCTGTCTTCCTCTGAAGTAGATTTTTTTTGTGGGTAGCTTGCCAAATGTTCTTGAATTGTATGGATCAAAGTTACTAAGTAAACACAATTTGAATAGGTGTTGGAAAGGGTGAAAATAAACTGTATTTTGTAGAAATTACTTTTTTTTTAAGACTTGAGGAACCTTGATTTGAGTGAAGTATACCATAACCCTCCCTTCTAAATCAGCTTCTTTCTGAAATACTTAAATTGCCACTAACATGAAAAATACTTTCAGTATGCTGAATCTTGACTTAGTGAATTCCTAATGGACATTTTCATTTTTTCTCACATTCAGGCCCACAGATCTAACATTTAGTCTTCCTTCCTTGCTAATGGTAGTTAAAGAAAACAAACAAAACCCCAAAAAACAACCATAAATAAGACTAAGCCTCCCAGTATAAGAAATTTGGAAGCTCATACTTTACATTTACTTCTTCTGTTCTGGGCCTCTATCCAATTTTGGGTTCATGCTTAAGTTAAATATTAATTAAAACATTATCATTTGAATCAGATATCACACAGATTTGCTGTCGGTAAAATATTATCTTGAACGTTTCTTTAGCTACTTAAAATGTGAAAAGACTTGAAGATGTGGGCTTGACTTGCTGTAGGAAAGGAATTGTAACTAAGTGTGTGGGTTCTTCTTTCTTTGTTTTAAATGGTATTAAACTTTAAACTGTCTCTTAAAAATAACATTTCCAACTTCATTGAATATTCTGGTTTTAGGAACTTGCAAAGGAAAGACAGGAAAATGCAAGATTAATGAAGATGACGCAGGACAAAGAAGAACTAATTGGAAAGCTGAAGGAAGAAATTGATTTATTAAACAGAGTAAGCAAATACTTTCTTATGAGGTTCTTTAGTAAGAGGGGATAAAAGTCTCTGCATTCTTTGTTCTGTTCTTTGGGCACCTGCATCCACTGAGTGGAGTGTGAGGAGTCTTTTGTATTGCATAGATCTCAACAGGCATGTCAAAAGTTATATTTTTTTCCAGGTAACTTGTGTTTGTCATGATTAACTTCTCTGAGTTCTCTGTTATTGGAGTGCCTGATTTTGTTGTTGCTCTAAGTGTTCATAGAGCAACGTTATAAAAGCAAAAGCACTTGTCTGTCTCTTCTTTCCAGATTCAGTATGTAGAATACCAAGAAACAATTAAGTTGTGGTTTTGACAATTTTCTCAATAAATTGTTACACAGGACTTTTTCAAAGTAATTAGAAATTTAATTTCATTTTAGTCAGCTTTTAATTACTACTAATAATTTAGATTCTCTTAAAAAGACTTGGGAGCAAGTTTTTTATATTCTGACACATATTCTCATACTCTTTATAGTTGATCCCAAGTAAAAGCAGAACAAGTCAGAAGGCAGGACACCTGAGGTAGCATCACTCAGGCAAGGTATGAAGGCAGGAAAAGAGGGGGTTAGAAGAGTGAGACATGCTTGGAAATGGAACAGGATGAGAAATTTAAAAGTTAATAGAAAAAAGTTGCCCCAATTTTAAGGGCGAACAGAAATTCTTTTGTAGAGTGGATTAGTGACCTCATCTTGCATTTCCTGGCTGAGGTGTGGAGCCTGGATGTACGAGGGTATATGCATCTTCTGGTCCAGTGCAGATATGGCTTTGGTCAATGCAACAGTGAAGGGAGGCAATAACTCTGCATGAACAATGTCAAAATTTCATTTTGCATCTCTTCATCTGTGGCAAAGAAGGACAGCATTCACAAGTTTGCAAACTAATCTAAGAATGAAAGGAGATTATTCTGAAACATATATTTTGATTTTTTTATGAAGAAAGTTGCAGGTTAGTCTGTAGGATAAATGAGGTATTGCCTGTTTTGGAGAGACTTCTATTTTAAGTGAGGCATTGGTCTTCATGCTGTTTTTTCATTCTGCAAAGAATCTATCACATCTAAGATTATGACATTATTACAGTCAAGGCAGGTGTTCATTCCTTCTACATAATGGATGGCAAAGCTATTTAATATGGTTAGTCACATCCTACTTCCTGCCTCAAAGGTCAGAAAGAACAAATCAAAATAACCTAAATCACTGAAATCTTGCGGTTTAGGACTATGACAGAGGTTTGCTGTTCCAGAAACAATGTTATTTTTTTCTGCTATATTTGAAGTATGATGTCGTAAATTAAATCCATGAAGTGTCTAACTAGAAACCATCTTTGAATATTTGTAAAGTCAGGCAGTGTCTGTGTCTTGCCTGCGTTAAGGACAGTGACAATTTCTGCTTGTTACATGAAAGGAAACATTAAACAGAATATAGTCTTTCAAAAACCACTTTATTATACCATGACTAAAACTGTACCTTTCCATGAGATCTACAAAGCCATCTTATTGATGCTTTCTTGGTAGATACTATTAAATGCAGAAGAGGATGGAGTTTTTTTTTCTCCATGAGGTCAGCATTCTTCATAGCTTTAACACTGTCTGTTTGCTTCATTGAGTGCAAGTTATTTATGTCCATGTCTCTTGGGCTTTTCTTAACGATCAAAAAGTTGCCTTTTGACTTTGTGACCAGCATAATTTGTCTTTTCTAAGAAGCTTGAACCCATGTCTCAAGTGATGCTTCCATTAAAATGGATTCAGCTTTACTTTCTTGTTTATTAACTCTTGGATTTATGTTTTCTTCCATATTGGCTATCCATGTGGATTCAGAAAGAGAAAAGCCGTAGAAATACTACATCATTCTGATGATAGAAAGTCATGGAAGTTAATAGGGCAGTTATATTTGCTTCAGGTTTATTATCATAACTGAGAACACGAGAGCCAGCACTGGGACATCCATATGTTCTTTGTGGAGTGTTAGTCTGTAGACCTAGCACCAGGTTTGGATGCTTTGCATGGAAGAACAGTTGTGATCTTCAGCCTTCTGTTCAGATAGAAGGATGTTCTGAGGACTAAACTTACCTTAGGGAGCTTATGCAGAGATCTTTTTAAAAAATTTTGCTTACAGGCAACCTAAATAGAGGTGTCTAAATTTGAACATCTACATGTTCATGGTATTTCTCCAGCTTTTCTGTTCATCAAAATATATAGTTATTGCATGTTGAGATGCATGGGTATGGAAAGAATTTCATGTCAAAGACTCTAAATAACTTCTTAAAAAACCATTTTACTGCATAGCTTTCTGACTGCTCAGTCCATATTAAAGAAATGCTCTTTCTACAAGTTTCAGTCAGTTGATGACCATGGATGCATCCTTGACTGTCTAAGACCTTGTGTTGCAACTGAAAAACTGTTTTTCCAAGAATCCTGAGCTGCATTTATATTGAGGAACAGAAAAGGCCATAAATGGCATTCCCTCATTCCATTCCATTAGACATTAGACATTAAAAGTATGTCTGCCATGTTCTTTGTAAGAAAGGGGTAATTGCTTCATTAAAACTTAAAAAGTCTGAAGGGAAAGGCATCTCAAACTATTTAAATATTTGTAGGCAAAGTTCAACTGTTGACTAGTTTACACTTAGTCATCTCTGACCTCAGTAAGATGTCATTGTAGTTAAAAGTGCGTTTGGAGAGGGTCTGTCAATGAGGATTTACAGTCCAGTTAGTGTCAGTTGTATAGTTATTGGTTCTTTTGGTACGTGAAGTCCAAGCTTTCCTGCTATTGCATCTTTTTTTTGCAAATAAGCATAAATTAGTGGTGTAATTTTGAATAAGAAACTTTAAACTTCAAAGTGGCAAAATCCCCTGCATCTCTCAGCCCATTGTTTCTGTAGATATTTAAACTGCAACAGTTATTTTTCCTGGCTCATATTCAAGAGTCTCTTACTTGTAGTAATCTTTGGAATGTTATTTTTGCAGCATAAGCATTTCACAAACTTGTAATTTTTTTTTTTGAGTCAGTTGCGATATTTTAAACAGATGGTCTTTAGGTAAGCTTTAATTGAGGCATCCAATGGCTAGGTTAACAAGTTCAAATAAAGTATTCTGTATATTAAACTAAAAAAACAAAACAAAACAAAACACACATTTTATTGAAAGTATAAAGTGTGTTTCTTTATATTAAACTATATTTATAGCATCAAAACTTTGCATATTTTGTTGTTTAAACCACTTGTATCTGTTATGTTGGAGTGGTCAAATGCTTTTCCTGGAAGTCATTCATACTGTGACGCAGCATTACTTCTGTGAAGCAAAGAGGAATTTCTGCTAGCGATTTCTTGATTCCGCATTAGAAAAACAATAAAGTCATTGCAGAGGTATTGTGGTATGGATTTTGGCTTCACAAACTGAAGAGGCTTTTAAAAATGATTATACCAATTAAACACATCATCTCTAGCATGCACTTCTGGAGTGACCTCACTAAAAAGAAATAAGAAACTGGGCTTCATATGTCAAACGGTACTTAACTTAAAGAGACAAGAGAAAGAAAATCTTTTACTACTTAAAGCAACAGGAGGGTTTTGCAGACTTGAATCAAGAGACATTAAGATTTCCAATGAGAATTCTGGTTCTTTTTCCTTTGGCTATCATTAATTTTTCTCCTTAGAGTGCTGTTCTTGATACCACTCTTCTGTTTTTCTTTCTTTGTTTTGTTCACGTTCTGTTTCTTCCATGTGTTTTTTTTTTATAGAGTAAAACTACTTTTGCTCAAGTCATACTTGCATTAAGCAGCCATTTTCACTGGTTTGAAAAGGCTTGAAAAGACTTGGTAGGAAGTGAAGAAGTAAAATGGGAACTGGATAAAAATGGTAATTTGTGGAAAAGAGGCAAACATTTGGGGTGAAAGCAATCTATTTGGAGCGCTCATTATTATTGTGTGTGCTGTTAAAACACAAAGCAGATCTTCTTGCAGTAATAACCAGTGATGTGTATATGTGAGTGGGATAATTGCAGACAAACACAGTCTGGGAGAGCAGAAGCAATATCTGAGTAATACTCTCTCTGTATATGCCAGAAAAATAATCACACCCATCCTATTTTGGTTTCTTTATTCATTAATTCCTACTGTAGCTTTAGTCTGAATGTATTTCTATTTAAAGGTGCTTGTATGTGGGAATATAATATTAATATTTTGTAATTACAGTAACACTTGGAAACTGGCTGGTTTTAACAGTTGTAAGGGTACCTACTGTGACACTAATTCTTCCCTACCCCATCTTCTTCATGTCAGAGCTAAGATGCTAAATTCCTGCTGCTACTAATTGAGAGTTTGTTTATGTTCTGGGAAATGTTTATTCTTCTTTTTTTTTTTTGCACAGGACCTAGATGATATAGAAGATGAAAATGAACAGTTGAAACAAGAGAATAAAACCCTCTTGAAAGTTGTTGGACAGCTGACAAGGTAGAAGATTCAGACCTCAATGAGGAAAGATTTAAAAACTACTGAGTGAACATTAAGGTCAATGTAGTAATACTTCCTGTGTGTTGCAGTATGTTATAGTAACTGTTTGTATATTTATTGTTAGGAAACCAGATGAATGTTTATTTTCATAGTACTTGTTCAGTGAAATGACATAAAATTTGGGGTATATTTTTAGCTTTCTTTTCACATAAGCATAATTAAACTTTTTGATGTATTTGCAAAACATTAAGTTCAAAAATATTTGGGTTTTGTATCTTCAGATTACATCTGCATAAATTACAATAATTTAAAATTCATAGCACCAAGATCACTTTCAATCCATGTGGGTGTATATTTTTTAAATAAATGGAAGCAATACATATAAACTTTGTTTACAGAGATCCAAAATATATATTTTGGGAAAAGCTTCCTTTTTTGTTTAAACAACTGTAAAGTGGATGCCTTATTACTGATGTGTAACATTTTGCAGATTGATGACTTGCTCTAGAACTCCTCTTGTATGTTGAAGTTTTTTTTACTGTATCTGAAAGATTGACAGTAGTAGAGAGTAGCAATTTTTTTTCTGTGTTTAACAGTATTCTGTCAGGAGGGGAAGATTTTACTGAAAAAAAAAAAGCAAACACAGAACACCAAAAAGCCAAATAAATCACCTCTGGTATCAGCATTAATAAGTTCTTAGAATCATATTGAAGTTGTGCACTGCAGTTTATTTTATAGCTTTTGCTTTAGCAATGAAATGCAAGTTTGCAGTCAGTTTGTTTGCTGTGTTGAGAATTTAGACAAAGCCTGGAGCTTTCATTTTAGCAGACACTTTTGCAATACTCTCCTGCTTAAAGCTGACATCTTAAAATTTGTAGTGATCATAACCAATATGAGTTTTTTGATTTCTTTTTTTTTTTAAGCTGAGTGAAAATTTTTGTACATAACAAAAGTAGAGGGGCATAATTCATGCCTTTCTGAAACATCAAATGGTATAAAGACCCCCTTTTTATCCTTGATTTTAAACAAACAAGGTGTTTAAAAAGTGCCTGGTTAGATGTTACAATCCAGTTATGACTGTACTTATTCTTCTATAACATGATAACAGACAAAATTTTCATTAGACTTTAACCACAGACCTCAATTAACAACTCTCTTCTTAAAATTTTTGTTAGACTGAAATTTTTTTTGTACTTTGTCATCTTAATACAGCATATTTTTCATTCTGGATCAGATTAAATGTACATGTCCTTTGAGTCAGGACACTAGAAATAAAAACATTTCAGAGAGTCCAGACTTTTTCTTACAGTGCTGAAGTTTGGTGTCAGAAAGTTGCATGAATATAGTTCTTGTTACCTTAAAATTTAAAGGCAATGTTAAAATATAACAATATGGCAATATTGTTATATTTTTATATATATAATATATATAACAATCACCTTTTCAGATTTGCCAGTTGTTTTCATATTGAGTATTTAATGACTGTTGCGTAAATTTAAAATCCAGCTATTACACCTTGGATTGTTTTGGATATAGGATAGATTATTTTGCATTTGTGCATTCTGATGAGGAAGAACTTTTCAAAGCTTTAAAATATTTTTCAAGACACGTATAGTCCAGGATGCCTCGATGTTTTCCTTCACAGTAGATGGGATCCCATGGGACATCATTTGAAACCTTTACTCAGGCAGTTAAATGGTATGAGGGTTTGTATAGGCCCTAGAATATACACTAATGAGTATTGTTTGTAATACTGAAACAGTAAGAAGTCCCTCAATTTAAGTTTCATGAAATTGAAAATTTCAAGTAATAAAAAAGTCAGTTGAGATGTATGCATTTTGAATAAATATGAAACTTTCTCTGGAAGAACATCTGATTTCCTTCTCTGTTTACTAGGTAGGAAATACACACACTGATGTACGGCATAGGGTGTCAAACATATTGAAGCAACATTTAGGATTTACTGCAGAAATAGCAATATGAAGCTGTAAATGAGATATTTCATAAACTGTGTTTCATATACATTTTAAACCAAAGAAAAATAACAACAAAACATAAACAAGAGTTACTTGTCTTCGTATTATCTCGGTTTGCATGTGTGTTGACTAAAAATTAGCAGCAGTAATACCAAAATTATTTGTTTTACGTTGGACATACAACTGACAGAAGTATTTGGCAGAAATGCTTCTGATACCTTGCCTTGAAGAGACACTAGCAAGGGAAGTTTGCAAATATTTGAAACCAGTATAATTCTCTAGCAGAACGTGTGAACAAAACCATTGTGAACTCACACATCAAGTGCCTCAGGACCTTATTATTGCTGTGTATTATTATACAAGTCTAAAACTCTTCATTGTTTTAAAAGTTCCCACAAATTGTATCATGAAGCATAACACTTCTGCTGACAGTTTGGAAGATTTAGAGGGTTTTTTTGGAAGAAAGTGTGTCAATAACAATTCATTATTACTCTTGTGAGAAATTTAGTAGATTCTAGGAAAAACTATGTATTATATAGAATGTTAGTGATTGTCTGGTTGTTACTTGCCATTATCCTTTTATTTCAGTAGGGTACCTTTAGAGTCAAACTCAAACATAGGATATGTTTTTATCCCAAGTGATTTAAAGGTGTTAAGTTACTACCTTACTAGCAATTCACTAACCCATGGCCAGTCCAACATCTCCATTGTTCTCAGTTCTGTGATTTAAACGCAGAGAGACTGATGGAAGTGGGAACCCGTGTCTCTTGGGAAGGTTATATGATTCCTGAATGACTCTGGTATTAACATACCTAGGCTAAGTTAATTTACTAGGGGTCTTCTTTTGGTGGGTGGGGGGAGGAGGATGTTACTAGGCAATATTAAGTGAATGGGTAAGTCCCTTGGAGATTTCTGAACTTTCATGTCTTAAAATTCATGCCAAACTGCTTAGGTCAACCATGTGTGTTTCTGGGTAACCAGAGTCATCTAGGAAATCTTAACAGGAAAGTACTCTCATTGACTAAAGCAAATAAGAGAAAATTATTTTCATGATACTTTACTATGAACATCACATAATTCCTATTTTGATAATGCACAATGGTGGTTCTGTTATGGTCATATACTGTAGTACAGAAAAACAGAACTACATGCAGAACTGAAGGTTAAAATTGTCCAGAAATATTTTTATCATTGATAATGTGTACTAAAACAGCATTTCAACCATATTTAGAAACTGGTTAGTTTTATAATGAAATTAAAATGTCTCTCTCTTCATTTTTCAAATAATATCAAGTGTTTCTTGATATGTGTATTAACTGAAAGTTAATATAGAGTCTATATTTACAAATGAGTGTTTTTTCTGTCTTTAAAGCAAAACTTTGCATGGTTAATTGCCAGATTTGTATTGACACAATTGGAGATTAATTCTGTTGTATATTGGCTCTGACTTTGAGCGGTAGAATAAGAAAAGAAGATAATAAGAAATAAATCAGTGACTTCCAAAGTGGGAAGTACAACCTAATTGAGGATTTATTTTTATTATCCAGCTGTACTGAGAATTAGCTGTGGAAAGATTTGTGACTGGCATAAGCACTACAAAAGCTCTTTTCAACTTGTATCATATCATTACACCTTGGAAACCTACAACTTTAAAGGATACCAGAAGTAGTATTGGAGATCAAATTACTTATTAACATTTTGCTAGGAGAGCAGAGTTACACTGCCTCCAGATGTTTTATGGTTTTCTGTATGTTCTGTATGGCTATTTTCAGCTTGAATTGCAGCAAATCAATATTAGTAGCCAAAAGTAAAGGTAATTAATTACTGGAAAACAAATACCTGATTAATAAATAAGGATACCATTACTGAGTGTTAGTATTTCTCGGACTACAGACCTCTTATGAAGATGTCGGTTGAGTCTCTTCATGTGCGTCAGTATTAACAATCATAAACATCTGATGTTTTTAATAAGAAACAACTGTTTTAGTTGGAGAAATTGCCACTGCAATCCATGACTTCATTTTTAAGTACTTGTAGCTGCTGAGACTAGGGAGGTGGGGATTATACTTAAAAAATTTGTTAAAAGGGAAACAAATTAGTTCTTGTAATTTAACTTTATCTAGAAGTTCACTACGGATCTGTTCCATGACAGTCTGTCTGGTGTAAGTACCTGCAAGAGGTATTGACACCAGCTATTTTAGAAGCATTTCTACTTCTGTTATTAAGCATTTGTTTAGGACTACTTAAATATATTCAGGGCAAAAAGAGCATTGGTGTGTATATAACTGATGATCTTCCAAGTATGTTGACTTATTGCAGCAAATATCTGTCAACTGTTTCTCCTTGTACTGTAGCAGATGTTTATTAGCTTGTTAATTTAATCCTTTTGCTTTTATTTCTGTATTTCTAATGTAACTGTTCTTGTTCAGGGCTATTTGTGATTTTTTCTATTCTGGAAGACTTGTGATAGTTGAGTTTTCCTCTGAAAATAGTCTCGCAGTGCGGAGTAATTTAAAAAAAATACTCGTTTTGTGCATTTAGAAAGTTTAAGCATAATTAAGCTATAAATAACTGAATATCCATTTAAGTTTTGAGCATTAACTAGCTGTGGTGATACTTGTGGTATCAAATTAAAAAATGATGTTGAGATTCTTAGTATTGCAGGTAAAAGTTACATGTTTAGTCTAATAATAAAGAGTGTGTGCTTTTTTCCAAATAAAACAAAATTCTTTTTAATCCAGACTGACTACTTATTGTCTTTAAAGGAGAATTAATATTGTCTGTCTAAAATTCTGACTGGATTTGTCACCCATACTGGGAAGCTCCCAGCCTGAACTGCTAGAATTAGTTTACGTTCACATTTGAGTTTTCAAGTATGAATGTGTTTGCAGACACATGAGAGTAATCTGTATATTTACACTGTACTAATTGTCTGCTTCAGGAATGTAGTGAGTATCCTTCCATCTGTTAGATGGAAATGATCCTTTCCCCTACTTCGTAGTAGAAGTATAACCCTTCTCAGGAAAAGGAAGGATGCTACAGTGCAGTTTCTGCACAAATGAAGTGAATTGATTTAATTTGATTTAACTTTTGAAAGTTCTGTATAAAAAATACATATTCTCTTCTCCCGCACAAGCAGAATCATTAAAGACAACCTCCTTTTCATTCGTAGCTGCAGACTGCACATAAAGAGGACAAGTGAATAATTGGTAAACATCAGAGAGATAACTACTATATATATCACAGTTCATCCTAAAGTTTATAATGTTGTTTTAGAACAACTTGAAACATGAATACCACAAGCAACCATGCATTCAACACCATGGTTACTTTATGGATAAGACATTATGAGCATTTTCACTTAGTAAATCTAAAATATTAGGTGAATTTCGTTTAAATTCAGTTGACTTCCTTTATGAAATCACGGTGGCTTTTAGATTTTGCTTTAAAATACAAAAGTATGTCCTTTCTCAGTTTTTGGCTTTGGCAATTTAGATTTCTCAGTCTTGCTGGGAAATTTTAGTTCCAAGTGCACAAGTGTCTGTTCTGTGTTCTTCCTTTAGTCATTGGATTTGCCATACAATAGCTACGTGATCTTAGCACTTGGTATGTTTTCCTGTGGATGTTCTAATTTTTCTCTTGCAACCCATCTCTTACTTTCTTTT